AACTTGCATTTGCTAACTTTATTATTGCCTTTTCTGTCCGACTAGTTGGGTGATACTAAAACAATAATTATTAGACCCTTCGCCCTCAAGGGCCAGGGGTCTATAGCCCATTCTGCTTCGCTTCATGGGCTATTGACCCGTAGCCCTTGCGGGCTGCAGGTCTAATTGTTAATTATCACAAGTAAATGTCAACTTCAATTGTCATCTTTTAGTAATGTTAGTTAAAGTGACATGATTTGAGATTTCTGAACAGTCTTTATGTTTACCAGGTTTTTTTGTACCATACATCATTGCTTGCACTGGTGAATAATCTACTAAATGCCTTACTTGCAGGGGCAGAAGGTTTTACAGCATACTGTGCATGGGTAATGGCAAAATTCCTAATGACTGGATCATTCACAACCCCTCCGTCATTAGTCTTGTACGTGTCCCACCACCAGTGCTCTTTATCAGCTAATTCCGAGTAGGTAACATTGGTCTGCTGTTGCCGCAAGAGACGGAACATGCGACGTGTGTAGTAAGGGTGCACTGTCCTATCAGCTGCTCCAATCCGTATCATAATAGGCACACCCTGAAAATGAAACTTAGGATTAACCTCTGTCCCAGAGCCAATTAAAGTTTATTGACATCAAATTTAGGATCGTTGAACTTAGTAGCTCTAATCTACGATGAAATTCTAGAGTGTGACCATTCAAATGAAAGCTATTGAGCAGTACTTTCATGTGGTACTGTTTATTATGCTGTACAAGGTGGTTCTAACTTTTAAGTCTGTGGATGAAACCCTAGTGTGTGACCATTCAAATGAAAGTTACTGAGCAGTACTTTCATGTGGTACTGTTTATTATGCTGTACAAGGTGGGTTGAATTTTTAAGTCTGTGGATGAAACTCTAGTGTGTGGTCATTCAATTGAAAGCTGTTGAGCAGTACATGTACTTATTGAACTGTAGAGGAAACTTTGGCATGCAACCATTGTTTCCATGCAAGATGATCAGTTAAAAGCTTTAACAATCTCAAAATAATAAAACAAAATGCCACAAATAACTTACATGTAAATTTGACACATGTTTATCTGCATCATTTTCTGCAGTACAGGCCTCTAAAATCCCCTTAACAGCTGGTGAAGTGTGGCTGGTACTGATGTCATGACGGAAAAACAGGTTGGATTCACCATAATCCTCTTTCTTGATCCAACCAGCTGCAGAAACTACAGCAAGGGCCTGGTCTGGATAATGGGTACCTAGCTGCCTTAATGTAAAGCATGTAACCAAATATTTAATTTAAAATTTTCAGCAACTGCCGTCTATTTACTAGGTAACCAAGTTGGCGATCCATGAAAAGATATCGGATCCTTGTGGTTGCCAGTTGCAAAGACAACTTAATTTTAGTCCTTATCAGCTTGGGGTCCAAATAAAGAAGCATCTTTTGCGAGCTTGGCAAAGGTCCTTAATGCTGCCATTGCTGTTAGTTCCAGTGATACTTCACCTCCAATGTCATGGTTACAGAAATTATACATTCAACACCTTATCCACAGCTAGGGCTCATATCAGACCACCCAATCTGGAGTATATCTAGTACACTAGGTAGATGTCTCTTATCTATCCTATCTCCTTTGTAACTAGGTGTCACATAAGGCCTCATGTCTCTTAATATCCACCTTTACCAAATACTCTTTACATTTCATTTTAGTAACTTTACAAATGAGACTGTTATAAAATTTAATAAGACAAAGTTCCAGTGATTTATGAACAGCAGTCTGTTTTGCATCAGCAGAGAGAAAAAGAAGTTAAAAGACTTACCATGCTCCGTGACCACCCATAGAATGCCCAGCAAAGACAACTTGATCCTTATCAGCTTGGGGCCCAATCCAAGAAGCATCTTTTGTGAGCTTGGCAAAGCTCCTTAGGGCCGTCATTGCTGTCAATTCTCCAGGTCCTTCCCAGTTGTGAGCTCCATGTCTGGTAGGTGCGACAACCCAAAGACCCTCAACCCCAAACACCCACTTGCCATTCTCCATCCGCTTGTAACTGTCTGCCTGGTTCTGAGGAGGTACAGCTAAAACACAGCATGCAATGAAAGTTGTTATAATAAATACCTCACTCTAAGTTTGTCAACTTGGAGTTTGGGACCTCTAAATTACAACACACAATAGCAAGGCAGTGTGGGATTCAAAACAGCCTTTGTTACCTAAGTACATGGATTGCTCAACATATTTTTCACCTGAACATAAAAATACAACATATAAAAAAACTGGAGACAAAAACTACCTAAACTAAGACCTAAAAAGAGTACAAACACTAAGAGAAAACAATACAAAACATGAAAGGCTGTCAATACAAATGAAACTGGCACCACTCCCAGGGTGGGAGGGAAGGGGAAATAAAATGGAGGCCATTATTGTGGCTTGTGATAAGACTTAATATGCTGGATTTGAATACACACAATGGATGAACAAACCATTTACTTTATTGATAAACTGAGTGTAAATAAAAGAATTGAATTGAATTGAACTGAATTAGGTATCCTGCCTAAAGTAGGATTACTCCCAGGTAAAACTACAGCCTAAATAAGGGATGGCTATGTAGCCTGTTGTGGGCCTATATGCAACGTGACACAAAGGGGACAGTTAGTTAGTTATGTAGCCTGATGTTACAAAATATCTCATGTTCAAAATACTACATAGTACATGCAGTAGCTCTACTGTCCTGCACCCCACACATACCTTGGTGCATAGTTTGGAACCACATCAGTCAGCCTGCTGATACATCCCGTTAACTAGCACATTGGTCTTCTAGCCTATATCACAAGTCAGCTAATACCATGCCCCACCTCAGCAAGCGTTCTCTTATTCAACTAGCTGGGTCCATTCATTACTCAAACATTCACATTTAATTTAGCCTGTACCAACGACAATCAGCAACACAATCAGAAAGCAGCGTAAAGAAGACTGACGATGGAACATAATTTTTATAGCTTCATCTCCCTGACGGTTAGAATTTTATGAATTAAGCTTGATATGTTCTTTGGCTTTATTTCATACTGCACTACTCAAATTTATACCTTCGCTAATTTCAAGCCCTCAGGCTAGTAAACACAATACCCTAATTTACTTGCCTGTTTGCTTTTCTCTTTTGGTTGCTTTTAATAGTTACCTGGCTACCCTGTGAGCAGTTGGTTTCTATAACTCGTCGCTGCAGGAGACACCAACTGCTTGCATGGTATTACCAGGCTAGCAGAAATGTCAAACCCTCTGATAATCCACATATTTAATCCACATGGACTTCTACCTACTTGTTCCATGTAGTGTCAGCAAAACAGGACAGATTCCAGAAGAACAAGATGTCAGTGGAATGATTGCCGCCCCATGCTGAACTGAAGCGTCATGATCAAGAAACGTGAACAAAAATGATTCACTTCTTTTACGACATCTGAGGTTTAACACAAACTTTTGATCTGGGCCTTTATTGGTGCTAATTTTTAGCACCAGTTTCACATCAGAACAAACACCATTATCAGCAAGTTGCTCCTTTCCATTTTTGGATTCCAGTAAAATTTTTATTGGTCGTACTTGCCCAGGAGCTATTGCAAAAGCTTTGTCTTGTGCAGACAGCTTTGCAGAAAGTTGAAGATCTGGAGAAGACTCTTTCATGGTGGAAACTTTTGTTACTTTAAGCCAATGAGAGCCATGTAAGTTGCTGATAGGAGTAGATATGAACGTAGAGAATAGTTTACCATCCACTAGATCAGGTAAATATGACGGAGATAAGACTTCAAAAGTGTGTTTTGCTTCAAGAAGTTTTATGTTACAAGTGAATGCAAATGATCCCTTGGACCTGAGGCGGAGTTGCAGAGTATGAATTCCTCGGGAGAGAGGAACAGATGACCTAGAATTAAACAATAACTGAGGCAGGAAAGAAATATATACTTGTAACAAATAAAGTACAATATTTAGAGAGGAAGCCACATACAGGTCCTCTATCCTGATTCAATTCGAATTTGAAGATGTTGGTTTTAGTGGAAGGACGAAAACTGGAGAACACAGAGAAAAACCCTTACCAACAACATATATTTGTACTCAATGCACACATGGCACTGGGCAAGAATCGAGCGTGGGCCACATCAATGGGAGGCTAGCACTCAAGACACTGGGCCATCCCTGCTTCCCCCAAATGGTAAAATTTGAGACTTTGCAAGACGGCGAGGTAATATTTTTTAGCAACCACCCGAAAGCTGCAATCCTCTGATAATACAATCATTGTAAGGATTGTTAACCTTACGTAAAGAACATAATGAATTATTTTCTCACCAAAACTGATCTCTTCTGTAGACATCTCCTGTCAGGACCGCATCGTCAATATACACAGTATGCACTCCAAGGCATTGAACAAGTACTGTTGCATCAACTTCATTGACAAAAAAATCCCCAAGGACCCATCCCTGCCATTCTGTTATACCCATTGATTGCAATGACATAACCAACTCATTCCAGTTTACTGACGGTGCAATAGCTACTGGTTCTGCAGCTGTGTGCTGATTTATTTCTGACCATTTTATCTCTCCTTGAGCTACCAGCTCCGAGTACAGAACAAACTTCTTATTCCATCTGTGCCTTGAGATATTTTTCACTCCACCCCACTCCTCTAAAGGGTCCCCATCTACTTCCGCCTTCCCGATTACAAATGGTCCAATAAAATGCCACTTCTGTATAAACTTGGAGAGTTTTCCTCCATGTTTTGTAGCTTCTTTGAAGCAAATGTTTGCAGCTTTTGTCTTGTCTTGCAAAGTCTGGAAAGACTCCCCTAAAACACTCCAAAGAAGGGCGTCATTTGATGCCTGTAAAGCCTTGATAAGACACGAAATTAGCTCATCTGTTGATTTCTTCGCTCTTAATTTCATAATATGATCTCTCTTCGTGCTCTTGCAAGAGACTTTAGACCAATGTTTGCTTTCTTTGTCCAAGAAAGTTGACGTGGAAGAAGTTGATGAACTCTTTTTCGATTTTGAGGACGTCACAACATTAATCAAAAACATGATGCTTACAAGATTTATAAATAGGGTTAACTCTCTATTTAACCGCATTTTAGCTCGCGGAGATGTTAAGATGCCAATAAAGCGCCACACTGGAATGAATAGCGAACGTTTCAACCAGGCGTCTCGTCTCCCCCTCCTACCCCTGCTCTGTCAGACCTGGAACTGGTGATATCTTTTCCTATGGGAGGGGAGGGTGCACTTTCCATTTTATCGAGCTACAAATGAAGCAACAATGTTCTTTCATGGGTCACCTTTAACAAATCAGAAAGAGTGTATTAAAATAACCCAAAATCTTTAAAAATATATATTACATTTTTAACGATAAAGAAGTCTTTTTGCCTCTAAAGTTGCTACCATTATTATTAAAAGTCACATGATCGGGATGACCAATTACAAGCTCGTATCTGATCCCTCGTGACTTAGCTCAGCTGGTAACTTTTACGCGAAATTATTAGCCCTCGCGAAATTCACGGAACTATATTATTGTCGGCGAATTAAATTTTTTCTCATTCATTATGTCTTCACCTCCAAAGGATAAAGATAAAGAATTAAAAGCTGGGCATCCACCGGCAGGTCTGTAAGGAGAAAAACGAATTTCCCGAAATTTTAGATGCCGTGCGTGGGCATGAAGTTGAAACCACATTTTGGATTTACTTACGTACGAAATTAAAGTGGTTCTTTAGACTGTAACTGTATCATTTTTTCGCAGTGAAAGCAGGGGGGATGAGAATAACTTCAAAACACCATCAGTCGCAGCATCCAGTACCTACACCAGAAGAGAAAGCCGAAGAAGAAGAATTTGCGGAACCAAAGGAAAAGTAAGTGTTGGAACTCTTGGCAACGTAAACGTGCGTTCACGCATTACGTGTACCAAGATTTCATAAATTGTACACATTGTACATGATACAAAAGCAAAAACTGTACAATTTTCACGTTTGCTCTGATTAGGTTTCTTTTTTGCGCGCAATAAAAGGAATTTTAAATGCCTTGCACCAAATCGCGAATTTACACGCGCGTACCTGAAGGATACGTTTCCACGTGCCGTTGTTACATGTAGGTTGCGTGACAATTGTAACAAATGTGATCTTTACGTTGCGTGACCACTTTCTACATGTGGAAGTCCTTTAACTGTCCTCCATAAAGAATCCATCAGAGAATGCTTTTGTGTACATTTGCCGAATTCATATTAGTGACGGAAAACCGTCTGGGACAGAAAACTCATCCTCAGACAGAAAACTCATCTGATATGAATCTGGTAAAGTGTCCTATCTCAGATTGATCCATCTACTTTTCTGGAAAACTCTCTTAAATTCATACTGGACGCAAAAATCATGGGAAGTTTCAGTCACGATTTTAAGACAGTTTACCAGCCTCAATTCGTATTAGACGGTATTCGGTCGCATCGCGGACTAGTTTTCCATTTTTAAATATGAATTCAGCTATTTAATTGGTTATTCATCTCTGTTATTCTCAGGGCCTCAGATCAAAAAGTTGTTGTCTCGGGAGTGCTAACAAAAGGAAATGCAGACTTTAAACCCGAGGCTGTTAAAGTGGCTCATGAGAAGCCTATGCCGCAACATGACAAAAGACCACCAGGTGGTGGAGGAAAGGGATCAAATGTAATTCAACAACCAAGGAAGCAGTAGAAATTTTAAAATTAAATCTAACCTTGAATAAAATTACACAGTGTTTCTCTGGATTGACATAAAACAAACAAAATTCCTCCTCTCCCGTCCTTCTGTAGTTAGTATGTAGTTTGTTGCTTCAAGTTTCAAGAGTATTTTTGTGTGTGGGCTCAATGGTTAAAGCTGAGACTGACATAATGCAGCTGGTAGCTGTGAAGCTGTCGTGACCAGTTCTAAGCCACAAGAGCTTGTTGTTTTTTGTTGGTATCATCAACATTTCTTCTCTATTAAAATAGGTTAATAACTTAAACATTTCCAACTTATTGGGAAGGGAAATTTTCCAAGACATCGATAAAAAAATCAGGCATTAGGCTAGTATGAAAAACTATTTTGAAAAGACAAAAATTCATTGATGTGAATGTTATGGCTCAGACAGCCCATGTTAGACTTGTTGCCAAACAAACACCCAGTCTGGTGATCATTTAATTTGTAACTTCCCGTCCTGGAATTTTCATGCATCTTAGATAAACTGGATCATGTGTACTATAGGCATTTTTGGTCAAGTGTTGATCAATACCCTCAATTAACGCCCTTGATTGATCCTCGATAGACACTCGGTTGATCCTGATCGACACTCAATCGACAACTCGGTCAGCAGTCGGTCGAGAGCCAACTAATATTCGATCAATGCACATGAGTCGGTCAACACTATTGACCAACTGTTGAGCAAGTGTGAAATATTGAGATGTCGACTGAGTATTGATCAAGTGTCAACCAAGTTTCGATCAGAAAATCGATCGAGTGTTGATCAAGATGTTGATTGAAGGCATTGATTGACACTTGACAGCAGATGCCTCTAGTACACATGATCCGATAAACTTTAAAAGTATTTTCTTCAGTTGTTGTTATGTCACTTCTCTCTAAATGAATATTGACTTGTAATCATGTTGAGAACACAATTAAAAAAATAAAACTATCTTTTCCTTTGTGAATTTTCTGTTGACAAAAACACTTGGTGTTTGAGTAGCCATGATGAGTAAAACAAAATTAGTACAGAAGGAAAAGAATGGGAGTCTTCCACATAAAATGACAATTTTACAAAGTGGCTTGAAAAAAAAGTGGGTGAAAAAAAGGTTTCAAACTGTCAGTAGATGCGAAAACTGTATACATTTATTTTGCACTCTCAAAAAATAAATTATATTAGTATAAGACTGATTTATTTTCTTTACAATTTCTAGTTGACTTTACATGGTGTATGAAACTGACAATACAATGTTTCATGCTCTTCTTGGAAAATAACATGTAAAATAAAAAACAAAATCTTTGAGCTTCTAGACCCTGCTAATAACCATGACAAAAGATGCCAGTCGAAATATACTGATAACAATTCATGATGGAAACGAGGTCCTACAAGCAAATGCTGTTTAAAAAAGTGATGCTAGTTTAAAGCAAACATAGTATTCACTCTTAGTAGCATTGAATATCTCTTGTTCTCCTTGTTTCTCACCACTGCATCATGTAGTCGGTTGACTAAAATTGCAAAGCAAATCACAAAATAATTAGCTATTACATGTACAAAGTTTTACCCAACAGTAAGGTAAGTAATATGTGAAAAGAGGTTATCAGCGATAGGTGGAGTGGGAAATTATGTACAGTGTCACAAGAAGTCGTGAAGTGGATAAAACTGGATGATAAATGACCCATTTTTGCTACCCTTCAAAATGAACATATTGAATTGTACTGTGTACTTTATCATGGAGTCAAAACCGCTGCAGTATAAAACTGGGTAGAGCAAATTTATTGGGGTAGAGCTTCCCAAATGATTGAATTTGATGTCTGTTACTTTGTTGTATTCTGTTGTGTTTTACTTCCTTTCTTGACTAGTCATGACATAATTTACTCACTGGGTGTTTAGCTGCCTTGTGAGAGTAAAGTGCTGTACCCCACCTGATCAAAGGTCCACCATTTCTGACCATTAACCCATCCATGTCCAATACGCTCAAAGTGAGTCGAGTCACCTCTATGTATAGACGAATCATCTTGGCAAAAGTCAAGTCATCTGACTTGTCACAACTTGATGACATTTTACAAATATCCCACTCCACATTGCCTTCAAGGCACTTTTATACTCTGTCCACTCGACTATTCCAAAAGTCAAATCATGTCAGTGTCCACTCATCACGACTTGAAATCATTTTCTAACACCACCCCCCCCCCCCATCAAATTGTCTTCAAGCCAGTTTTACACTAAGTCTTGCTTTGACGACTCAACTGCTCCATAACACAACTCATGTCAAGTCATGCTTACTCATCGCTTGCGACCTTTACTTCCTGTATATACCAGCAATTACTCCTTGAATCAACTTCCGGTAAGTAGACTACACTACAATGTTAGACGACTACATTTTGTACTTCACCACTATCTCCTGGTAAGACAAGTTGACTACAAAGTTTGGCAACTCACCTCACTTCGGGTGTATTGGACAACCCTCTGTTACCCCACTGCAGGTTTCTTCCACCCTATCCCTTGACCCAATAATTCACTTATCTACCTGCCCATTCAGTCTGTGTGCACAACTGGTACCTAGCAACATCTTGGTCAGTACTCACTGTTAATCTATTTCGGGTCCTTGCTTTCGTTTCCTTTGTTAGTGCATCTAAGTAAGGGTCAGTGATCACGATTTCTTTGCTCCTGGAGCCAGAACTACTGCACATGGCTAATCCACTGTGCAATGAATGGCTGGGAGTGCTGGCACTGTGTGTACTTCTCAAGCCAAGGCTGGAATTCTGCTTACTCTGACGGCTGCCATCTTTCTGCAACTAAATGTGTACACAACCATGAGGTATAAGGGAACACATGTACCTCTCAGGAACCAGTGAACAATGCCTGTCTAGCAAATAGATTCCATGTTAATGTGCACCTGTTCAGTAATTAATCACAGATGATGCTAATTCTGGTTAGCTGCGGTCATATATTAGTGCCCTGTATTAATTTTAGAGGTCTGAAATTGGGTATCAATTTTCAGCCAGATCTGAAATACGGAAAGGTATGGAAAACCAGAATTTGCTTGGATTGGGATGTACCCCCACACCAAACACTTTGGGGATTTCCCCCCTCCCCCCCTGGGGTGAGTGACCACCATGATTCAGGCCCCTCACTATGTAATACCTGGGGAAAAGCAAAGGGGATGGATTAAGTTTTAGACTTAATAAACCCTGTACATCATCATATATGTTGGTCACAACTGAAATGTAGCATCAAAATGGAAATAATTTTATAAAGTGATAACATTTATTTTCATCGCTTTTACTGATGATGCAAAGCCTGTTCTTCAGTCATAATTCTGAGCCAGCTGTAATATTGGTTTCTGGGTACTTTTTCAACACTTCATTAACTAAATTACAATAACTTGATAATAACACGCCTGATTAGGGTTAAGATCGAAACTGCGAATGAAACTTAAGTGGTTAGATAAGCTTAAATGATATTGGCATAGCACTGTTAGAATTGGCAATTGTAATGATCTAAGAAATGCACGCACGATTGACTCAGACGAATCCTAGCATACCGATGCAAGAAATGTACGAAGTTGAGTAACCTTTGCAAACAAACAACTAAAATATCATTCACTTCTCAACTGAAAGGCCTTTTCTGATCTTTTCTCAGCTTTAAGCTGGTTATTGAACGACAAGTAAGGTATTGTGCAATTTGAATCAACCGATGCTCGCTTGCAAAACAAAGCAAGACTGTGGTTTAGCACGAACGCTGTCATACTTACCAACCAGGACAAGTCGTTCACGTTTCTCTTATCAACAACGTGTTGCCTTCTTAACGCTTCCTGATGTAGCTGAGACATCTTACAAATGGACTAAAATGTGAATTCTGTCGGAAGCAACGAAACAAAACAATCAATGGTTGCTCCACAATTGCTTAAAACCTTGCTGTTGCGAAGTTCTACGAGTTCACTTGATCTCTGAGTGACGTCACAAGAGATGTTGAGATGCAAGGAATGCACGCGCTGCGCGAAGAAAACCTGCGATCATACCCTCCCTCCTTCCTCCGCCCCCCTCTCCNGCACGCGCTGCGCGAAGAAAACCTGCGATCATACCCTCCCTCCCTCCTCCCCCCTTCTCCCCCCCCCAAAAAACGCCTGATCTTAGGTTGCTTTCCCCATAAATATGTGAACCAGCGCACAACGAAAGAATTTGGATAACTTACGCAAAATATAGGGTGCTTACCATTTGTCAGAATAAACCGGTTGGGATTTTTTTGTAATGGTACTAAGGGTTTTTCCAAAATCAGCAAACCAACCGAACGAGATGGCGCTTACTATTTGCAATTCGATTTCTCGTAATTGTTTTCGGCTGATGAGAGACTGAACGGAAAAAGAGGACTACCTCTGAAGGTAGTCCACAATTTCCGAACGGATTTTCCGGAAAATTACTGTTCCAGTTGACTTTCAACC